AAGAGAGAGAAAGGGAGGCCACGCAAAGCCAAAAATCTCTGGGGTCTGATTTGAGCCGACTTGGGGCTAGGTTTTAGCCAGCCAGAAGCCTTTCCGGCAGCAATCCGACGAAGTGAGTGGCAGTTCGGGCAGGCGACAAGGACGGCGTGGAGCGGGGCGGGGGGGGACTCAGTCAGGTGACCCCCGCGTGTTCTGCCTCTCTCCTTCTCTCTTTCTCTTTCTTTATCTCTGTCTTCTCTCTTTATATCTCTCTGTCTCTCCTCTGTCTGTCTCTCTCTTCTCTCTCTCTCTCTCTCTCTTCTCTCCTCTCTCTCTCCTCTCTCTCTCTCTCTCTCTCTCTCTCTCTCTCTCTTCTCTCTCCTCTCTCTCTCTCTCTCTCTCTCTTCTCTCTCTCTCTCTCTCTCTCTCTCTCTCTCTCTCTCTCTCTCTCTCTCTCTCTCTCTCTCTCTCTCCTCTCTTCTCTTCTCTTCTCTCTCTCTCTCTCTCCTCTCTTCTCTCTCCCTCTCCTCTCTCCCTCCTCTCCCTCCCTCCCTCCCCCTCCCCCTCCCTCCTCCCCTCCCTCCTCCCTCTCTCCCTCTCTCCCTCCCCCTCCCCACTCTTTCTCCTTTTCCCTCCCTCCTTTTTTCGTCCTTCCGTTCATCCTCTTTACCACACCTTAATATATATCAGGAGGAAATTGTTGCTTTAGAGAAAAAGACGCGACTGATCGTAATGAAGGATTTCCTCTGTCTCTTATATTTTTCTTATAGCATGTCTGTCCTCGCGAGACTTCCGTCGCGCAGATGGATGGCGCGTCTGCCGCTGTGAGGAGCAGCTGATCCGTCGAGGCGAAGCCAGCTGGCGACTTCGAGTTGTACTTTACTGTCCTGTTCACTTCCCTCCCGTTTTTCTTTCTTTCTTTCTTTCTCTATCGCTCTCGGAATGCGTTTGTAGAATGTATTGGGGTTATTGTATTATTTCTGTTTCTTTTTTTATTAGTTCTGTCCTGGGCAAACATAGTTATAGGTTTATTTATGCTGTAGTATGGGATGCGGCAGAAGTAGAAGCCGTTTGGAATTGAATAAACATGGGTTGTAGATCCCGTAGACTTTCTTCCCTTCCACTAAGTAGCGGAATATGATTACATATCCATCCTTTATTGGGGGATCTCGTGACTCTAGAACCAGCGGAAAGAGCTTGGTGGATTGTGTGTGTTCCCCAAAAGGCCGGGAAGACGTAGAATAACGCGAGATAACCAGCACAACGTCAGAAAAAGAAATAGTCGTCGAGGGTCGCATGAAACGGGAAGGTGGTTTGACGTCGCGACCGCCAGGACACGAGGTCGGTGGAAGCTGCACGGAGAGACAAGCAATGTCGAGTGCCTTGTTTTGTTGTGTCTCAGCTATGACGTCATCACCGTGAGATTTTTGGATATGACTTGAACTGTACCTCTTAAATGGAATAACATCAATTATTTCATTATTATTTCCTCAGCTATATTCTAAATTTCCATTGTGATTTTTACGATGATGTAGTGTCGTGGACGCAAAGTAAAATTGTTACCAAGTTTACCGTTACTCAGGTAGGTTTAATGGGAAATAAGTTACTCCATTAAATAGAAATATGTGAACTGGAGTATTTTTGCGTGTTTTGTTATTGCATCTCCATGGTGGAGGGGGGGGGGGTGAGTAACAACAGTATTGGTAAAACTGTTCAGAATGCATCATGGTGCAGCACATGGAATACAAGAATTAACCCAATCAGCAATGGGAGGAATAGAAGACGGATCAAGATGGATAGGCATATTCGGGACAAGAGAGTTGTAAAACATGCCAAGCCGAATTATAGTAAATGCCCATCATCTGCATTTTCGGTCGTGGTATCGTTGAATATCGGACATTGCGGTAAACGATGGTGGACGATAAGTCTTTCGGAATGCCCGATGCAAAAATAATGTTGAGGGATGTTGGTAAATGTTGGAAGGTAAATAGTCGAGGAAACATGATGCACGCATGACGAGAATGGTTGCTCTCTCTCTATATATTCTGCTCTATCTATCTATCTATCTATCTATATCTTTCTTCTTTCTCTTTCTCTTTCTCTTCTCTTTCTCTTTTTCTCTCGTCTCTCTCTCTCTCTCTCTCTCTCTCTCTCTCTCTCTCTCTCTCTCTCTTCTCTCTCTCTCTCGCTCTCTCTCTCTCTCTCTCTCTCTCTCTCTCTCACTCACCACCACTCACTCACTCTCACACTCACTCTCACCCTCTCCCCCCTCCCCCTTCTCCCCCTCTCCCCCCTCCCCCTCCCCTCTCTCTCTCTCTCTCTCTCTCGAATAAGTTTTAGCTTTATTTGCCTTGAAGATTCGTTTTGTGTGCTTGAATGCTGCTTCTGATTAGACCCAAATTTTAGTTCACACGCCAAATAAAATTCAGCTGAATAGTTTTCCTTAACATAAGCTAGGCAGTGTGTAAACGTCAGTGAAAAGAAAGAAGAAAGAAAATAAAAGATAAGAGAAAATAGAAAA